CAACCGAAATTCCGAAATGTGTTCTCGTTTCGAAAAGATAAATTAAGTAGCGTTGTAAAACTAATCACGATGCAGCATAAATCTATAATGATCCAGTTACCTCAGGGTGTCGGCTTTCGAAAAAACTTATTTTGGACTGCATGCAAGATCTATACTCTGCAAAAAATGACTAGTTAAGTAGCATGCAATTTTCTCATTGATTTTCGATGCTCTTGAAACATGAACAACATGCATAAAAATATTCATTCGTTTACTTATTTGGTAGAAAATCACGTCTTCTTCCAATTCCATACTCAAAAGAAAAGTAAAATTCGGTTTTAAAAAGTTTCTAATTGTGAGATTTTTTAATACCATTAAATGGCCGTTCATGAAACGTCATGCATCTGAATTTACGAACGTGGCTTCTAAATTTGACAATATTACATGCATTTCTCTACAGTGTTCAGAGGAGACCATATGAGGTTCATCAAATTAAGCAGTGGATTTGAGCAATATCGTAAACTTTACAAGCCACATTCGTAAATGTAGATACATGACGTTTCATGAACGGCCATTTAACGGTATTAAAAAATCTCACAATTAGAAAATTTTTAAAACCGAATAATACTCTTCTTTTGAGTATGAAATTGGAAGAAGACGTGATTTTCTACCGAATAAGTAAACGAATGAATATTTTTATGCATGTTGTTCATGAAATATAATTTCATTTTCAAGAGCATCGAAAATCAATGAGAAAATTGCATGCTACTTAACTAGTCATTTTTTGCAGAGTATAGATCTTGCATGCAGTCCAAAATAAGTTTTTTCGAAAGCCGACACCCTGAGGTAACTGGATCATTATAGATTTATGCTGCATCGTGATTAGTTTTACAACGCTACTTAATTTATCTTTTCGAAACGAGAACACATTTCGGAATTTCGGTTGACATTTCATGAGTTGGCCCACCTACAGTACAAGTCTTTTCTATTGGTATTGTTGTTGGTCGAGATCCTGGTCAAGTGTTTGTTGTAGCCCAGGGAGTGTGGGATGCAGCGTCCAGGTGCGGGTCCAGCCGTGCTGGCCACCCGCACCCTCCCTAACCTCGGGTCGTCTTAAGTATGTCTTGACAAGTAGCTCAGGCGGGGAGGGAGGAGAGAGTGCGGTGGATGCTGCATAAGTCTACTAGACTTATTCCTGCGTCAGTCACCGTGTCTGATTCATTAACTGTTTATTCACTGTCAATGAGGATGTGGAAATCGGGACAACAAAGGGCGGCTGGGACTGCTGCGTCCCTATCATTCGATCTGCTAATTCAGCCATCTGTGAAACCGTGAGATCTTGAGAACCGGACGCCAGATTCGCTTGAACATGTGCAAGCAGACGCTTCAGAATCATTTTCTTGACTAGCTTGTCGAGATTCTGCATGTCTCCAAGGAAATAAAGCATTCGATGTTGAAGTTCTGAGGGTTTTCAGTCGCACAGGGATTCCTCCTTGATGAACTGGTGATAGCGCTGTCGGTCAGACATAGCATTCAATCGAAGGACTTGTGCCTTTAAGGTGGAATAGGGAGCATTTGCAAAGGAATTATATAGTATGGATTGAACTTGGGAAATTAAATTAGACTGGGCGAACCTCCACATGTTTGTGGTATTTCGCTGGCTCCTTGGTAATGTTAGCGGAATAAGGGGCTGATTCAATGCGGACAAAATAAGGTTCCGTAATGTCAAAACTAGCAATTCCATCAAAGAAAACGGGGCTAGATTGTCGAAGGCGAATTAGTCTGGTACCCCGGATCAAGTCTTTGCAAAGGCAGTCGTACATTAGTCGCATGGTGGGTTAGAAAATATTTGGTTACTGTAGCGAGCGACGAAATTTGGACCGACATAATGCAAAGGACAGCGTCCCGGCGGTTAATTTTATAGCAGGCATATGCACAGCCTAGTCACATGTACTACGCATAATCTGCCTTCCAAAGCCTCACACCGTACATGCACGCGCAGTATGAGCATGAATATGCATGTCGCTGTCTCTAATGCAAAACACTCGCAGTTATGACATATGGGTTTTGATGCGGTGTCCTGCAAATACATTCGATGGATGTAAGTGCTAGCCGTACATCATGCATGTTCATTCTCCATCTCTACTCTCAACTGGCCTTGTAAGTTAAGACGTGCCACATCTGCGAGGCATCAGTCGCGACTCGCTATTACGCTTCTCATCTCCATTTAATGCTTCTCCATTCACGCATACAGCCGTCAATTTATCCAAAGTAAGGGGAGGGCTTTAATACAGCCAACGCTCTAACCATCTGAGCTACGAGGCCCCACCAGATGACGCGTGTTTAATCACATTTGGGTCAAGTTTACCCGCCCGACCTACTTCAACGTCTGGTATCCACCAAATCTGATACAGTAAGCTGACTGTCCAAGCAGGATTTCCTAAGTTATACATTTACAATTCACCAGATGACAGATTTCAAATAACTCCTTTTGACCTAAATTGTGAAAAATTCGATGGGATTCGAACTCACGATTCAAGGGAGGGCTTTAGTACTTTTCATATTCAATGTTACTGTGAAGGAGATAAATATCTTTCCATGGTAAAGAATTGGGGTCTTTTCCGCGCATTACTGAGCGACGTGAGCAATCGGAATGACCATTTGCAGAAATTAATCGCGCATAAAATACTAGTCTTGGGGTTGTGCAGGAAAGAATACTCGCAGGATCCTTTCGAATCATTCAACTACTAACGTCTCCAGAAATCCGCTTCAGGCATTCACACTCTTATCCCATGGCGACTGGAGTTCAGCAGCGACTTACTACTTGCCAGTAACATATGAGTAGTCAGTAAATCAGCTTGCTCTGCTGTTGGCGATATTTGTTGTAGACTCGTGATTGCACCTTTATATTCGCCCTTCTGTCTGCTGCCTCTGCTATTGTCAGTTAGTAGTTAGATATGCAGTAGACGAGCGCATCCGGGAAGGGAGGTCTGCCCGCCATATTCTTCTTTATCACCCTTGACCATCAGGCATGTTACGTTTCAGCTGTCTTTTCCTGTGCTGTCTAATGAAGATAATGGTGTCGACCGAATCACCATAATCAAGACCGTTCAGCCGTCAAAACCAGCGTTATCAACCACGTGCTTCACAGCAAGATGGAGTAGGCACGTTGGCTGAAGCGTGAATTAGTTTATAGTGAGATTAGACTTGCGTAGTATCCACCGTACTCTCCATCCTTTTCCTCCTCCTCCTCCTCCTC